TGTCCCTGTGCCCCACCCTTTTCCAGAACATTCTAAGTCCCCACCCAGGAGGCGAAGGCTGCAGCTTGGAGCTCAGCTGTGGACTAGTTCATAGTGGCTTGGTGGGGGACTAAATGGAAGCCCTCTGTCCACCTCCAGCCTAGAGCACAGGTCTTCCCATGGTTGTGGGTTGCTTGGGAGCTGCTGGGCTATGGGACTGCTGGAGCCGGAGGGAGCCGCGGGGCCGTCTAGGGTTGGGAAGAGGGCTGAGGGTTCAGTGGCGCTAGTGTTAGCTATGCTATTATGGTGGCTATGAGGTGGACACGGCAAGTGAGAGGTAGGGAGGACACTGTGGCCTGGAGAGGAGAGAGGCCCAATGCCTGACTTGAGCTTGCAGGGGTGGGGGTGGGGGTTGTAGGCTCCAGATTGGGCTGTGGTCTTTTTCCAGGCCCTGAAGCTGCAGACTTGGGGGTTTAGCTCAGCCTTGCCCCAAACTAGACTGTTGAGTATTTCCTGAGTGTCACAGGAGTGATAGTCTCTGGGTGTAAGGAAAGCCACACTGAGTCCTGCTTCACATTTGGGCTGAGTGGGTGCAGACCGGCAGAGCTTGGGGCCAGCCGGTGGGGCCCTTGCCTGTAACACAGAATTCTAGCTTCCAGCCAACCTGGAGTGGGAGTGTGTGCCTGTAACTCCGTCATTCAAGAGGGTGGAGGCAGGAGGATCTAAGTTCAAGACCATCCTCAAACTTCACTGTGAATTTGAGGCTAGCCAGGGCTACACAAGACCCTGAGCTGTTTTGTGCTGGGGAGAGAACCAGCGTGGGGTGGGGACTGAATGTTGTCCTTGAGGGCCTGACCCCCTCCCTCACCTGCCCACGGCCCCAGATCCTGGCATATGGCGACATGAACCACGAGTGGGTGGGGAACGACTGGCTGCCCAGCCTTGGGTTGCCCCAGTACCGAAGCTACTTCATGGAGTCGCTAGTCGATGCTCGGATGTTGGACCACCTGAACAAGAAGGAACTGAGAGGTCAACTCAAGATGGTGGACAGCTTCCACAGGTGGGGCTGCCTGGCCAATGGGAACACCCAAAGGGGAAGAAGTCACACCCCTAGAGAGGCTTTAGCCAATGGGAAGTTTTATGAAATTCTGGCTTGTTGCTCCTTGAACCAAGAAGGTGATCCATAGGAAAACCGAGATCTCTTGTGGTCCTGGTGACCTGCTACAGGGGAGGCCAAAACAGGAGGATGGCAAGTCTGAAGTTAGCGTGGACTATAGAGTGAGTCTGAAGTTAGCGTGGACTATAGAGAGTCTGAAGTTAGCGTGGACTATAGAGAGTCTGAAGTTAGCGTGGACTATAGAGTGAGTCTGAAGTTAGCGTGGACTATAGAGTGAGTCTGAAGTTAGCGTGGACTATAGAGTGAGTCTGAAGTTAGCGTGGACTATAGAGTGAGTCTGAAGTTAGCGTGGACTATAGAGTGAGTCTGAAGTTAGCGTGGACTATAGAGTGAGTCTGAAGTTAGCGTGGACTATAGAGTGAGTCTGAAGTTAGCGTGGACTATAGAGTGAGTCTGAAGTTAGCGTGGACTATAGAGTGAGTCTGAAGTTAGCGTGGACTATAGAGTGAGTCTGAAGTTAGCGTGGACTATAGAGTGAGTCTGAAGTTAGCGTGGACTATAGAGTGAGTCTGAAGTTAGCGTGGACTATAGAGTGAGTCTGAAGTTAGCGTGGACTATAGAGTGAGTCTGAAGTTAGCGTGGACTATAGAGTGAGTCTGAAGTTAGCGTGGACTATAGAGTGAGTCTGAAGTTAGCGTGGACTATAGAGTGAGTCTGAAGTTAGCGTGGACTATAGAGTGAGTCTGAAGTTAGCGTGGACTATAGAGAGTCTGAAGTTAGCGTGAACTATAGAGTGAGTTCAAGGCCAGCTCAGGGAGCTAGTGAGACCCTGTCTCAAAATTAAAAATTAAAAATAGAGAGATCATGAAGAAAGAGAGGGAGAAAGTCAGATAAGAGCAACAAGAGCAACGACAGTGGCCATGGGAAGGCTCCTGAGTGACTCAGTTTCCCCCTCTGCTCAGGGTTAGTCTGCATTACGGTATCATGTGCCTGAAACGGCTCAACTATGACCGGAAGGACCTGGAGCGGAGGAGGGAAGAGAGCCAGACCCAGATCAGAGGTGAGGTCCTGTGGGGGCCAGGCGGAGAGGCAGGCCAGAGGGAGGGAAGCCAGATTTCAAGAGCTACTGAGAACATGGTAGGGTGAGCATGCCACGCCTTTAATCCCAGCACTCGGGAGGCAGAAGCAGGCGATCTCTGTGAGTTCGAGACCAGCCTGGTCTATACAGCAAGTTCCAGGACAGGCTCCAAAGCTACAGAAAAACCCTGTCTCCTTTTCATCTTCAGACGTGATGGTGTGGTCCAACGAGAGGGTCATGGGCTGGGTGTCTGGGCTCGGCCTGAAGGAATTCGCTACGAACCTCACTGAAAGCGGGGTGCACGGGGCCCTGCTGGCTCTGGATGAAACCTTCGACTACTCCGACCTGGCCTTGCTCCTACAGATACCCACACAGAACGCGCAGGTGAGTATGGTGCTCAGGGAACATGCTGGGCGCTCCCACCTGCGTGCTCCAACCTAGGCCCACCAACCTCCCCCCTCCTCTTCCAGGCCCGGCAACTGCTGGAGAAAGAATTTAGCAACCTCATCTCCCTAGGCACAGACAGACGGCTGGATGAGGTAGGCGTGGCAGCAGCTCTGAGGCTCCCTGCCACACTTACATCAGTGATGAAGGGGTGGGGCTTGGTGTTGCCAACCAATTGTGGTTGGAGGTTGAGCTAAGTGAGGGGCATGGCTGAGGAGAGGAGCAGAATGGGAGTTTAGGCCTCCCTCCTTCACCTCGGGCTCCTATCCTACCACTAGGACAGTGCCAAGTCCTTCAGCCGCTCCCCATCCTGGAGGAAGATGTTCCGAGAGAAGGACCTCCGAGGTGTAACCCCCGACTCGGCTGAGATGTTACCCCCCAACTTTCGCTCAGCTGCAGCAGGAGCTCTAGGCTCCCCAGGGCTCCCACTACGCAAACTGCAGCCTGAAGGTAAGGGGCTCAGATGTGACAGTCCGGACCCTAGTCACAGCTTGGGACAACTCTCCGTCTGGTCTACCCTACCAGCTGTCACCCGGGCGCTCCTCGCAGTGGGCTATTCTCAGTCTCCTTCCCAGGATGGGACATGACCTTGCTTCAGGCCACTTGGACTCTCTCTTTGGGTCTCAGGCTGCCGGGAAGTAGAGACCCATGGTGGAGCAGGCACACGCGTGATGTTTGAAGCTTAAGTCTATTGGAGGGCATCAGGGCTTGAGGCCAGAGAGCCTAGAAACCCTGGCGGATCTGGGCCAGCCTCTCAGGCCTGTTACTCAGCCACTCAGCGTTCGGCAGATAATTGCAAGATCAATACCTGCCTGGGCCACGGAAGAGTGAGTTCAGGACAGCCAGGCCTGCTCAGTGAGACTCTGCTTCCAAAAGTAAAAGGAGCTGAGGGTGCAGCTGGCTGGTGGGGGAGCCGCGTACAATTCCCCAGTGGGAGCTGCCCTGTGGCTCACTGGTAGAGCCCAAGCCTAGAATACCCCAGTGAAGGGCTCGGGTGTGGCTTAGTGGTGCGGTATTTGACTACCAATCAAGGGGCTCCTACCTTCAATGTCCAGTACGAAGGAGTGGGGAATTCTCTGGGGAAAATAGGGGGCTTCCAGGCTGAATGGCTGCTCTCTCTCTAGGCCAGACTTCTGGGAGTTCACGAGCAGATGGTGTTTCTGTCCGGACTTACTCCTGCTAGTGGACACTTACAGGTGAGGACTCTACCAGGTGATTCTTAGGGTTCGGGGTGGTGCAATGGGACCGCAGGATGGCGGACCAGATGGGTCCCACCTACTCTGATAACTGTTTGGTCTCAATGCAAGTGACCTCGCTCTCACTCGGATGAAGACCCTCCCGAAGGCTGGGCCGTTTTCCCTCCTTTGCAGAGTATTGTCTAGCCGGAGACCACCGTCAGGGAGCTCTCACTGCGGACTATACACATCTATACACACCAGCCCAGTGTGCGCGTTCCCGCCTCCCAGATGGACTGGGCCTGGACTAAACCACAGGAAATGGACTAAGGAGGGGGGCATCGGAAGAAGAGGACAGGAAGAAATCCCTCCGCCTCCCTTTTCTCTACTTTGTAATTTATTGATCCGTTTCGGACGGGAGCCAGGCACCCTGCAACTGCGGGAAGGGGGCTTGCTTCGCTCTCGGGCGGCATGCGGGGAGAGGCCGCCCCTCCCCCTTCTCTTGCCCAGTCGCGGGGCCCAGGTCTTTCTTCTTCGTCCGCTAGGAGGGGAGGGGAGACTCGCTGCTACAAGCCTCGCCCCCCACTCCCGTGCCACTCAGTCCTGCCCCCGCTGCGTCTGGTCGCCAGTCCTCAGGGGGTCATCTGTGAGCGGAGTCCCTGTCCCTCCTCCCGTGTCTCGTGTCCCCCGGGGCCTCCCCGCCCCCGTGCTATGGCGGTGTCTGTGCCCAAGGGTCAGGGACGCAGCACTGCGTTCCCAGTTCCCCTCCGGCTCCGGGGTTTGCATGGGAAAATCCCTCTGTCAACTATGTCGCTGGGTGATGTGGTTTGGGGAGGGATGGACAGCGGGGAGTCCCCCACCCCGACTCTCAGTTGGCCTCCTAGCCCCAGGCGTTACTCAGTGATCACGGGTAAAGACCTACTGTTTCAAAAGTTCTGGTGTTGACCAGCCTTTTTTTGAGACAGGGTCTCACTTTGTAGTCCTGGCTGGCCTGGAACTCACTATGTAGACTAGGCTAGCCTCGAACTCACAGAGATCCGCTTGCCTCTGCCTCTGCACTGAGATTAAAGGTGTGTGCCACCTCTCCCAGCTTTTGTTCTCAAGATGTTAAGAATGCAAACCAACCACCTTCAGAATCAAGGAGTCAGGCCCTCTAGGAGAGGCTGATGCCTCTTCCTACCGTCTGTGGTCTCCCTCCGCCAGTACACACCCCACACCCCACACTGCTGTTTCTAGGAGCACATTTATTCAGGCCTCCTGTCAGGTGGGCAGGCCAGGGGAGGTACTTCAGCCGCAGTTGTGGCCAGGTCAGGGCTCTGGAGTCTCCAGCATGTCAGCCAGGGCTCTGGACAGGAGGACACGAAGGTTAGCCAGCACCCAGAGGTCCTTGAGCCATCATGACCCTGACCGCTCTTAGCTCCCGGTGGGCCAGCCTTTCTCTAAACAAGTCCCTTGAACTGCATCATTCCCCCACCCAGCCCCACACTTACTGATACAGGGAGGAGGAGAAATAGTCCATGTAGCTTCCTGGGAGGGAGCAGAGAGAAGAGGTTTGAGGGCCTCCAGGAAGGGCATGATGGGGGAACACTCAGGGCAAGCGCTTGGTCTCCAGCTGCCCCAGCCCACGATTTTTGTTTACTTTGGTCCCACCCACTGGCTTCTAGGAGTGCCCTCAACACCGGCTCAATCCTAGCTTCAGGCCAGGCTCTGCCCGAGGACCTTTGCTATGGTCACACCCCCACCCCACCCTACCATTCAGCCACAGCCAGCAGCTTTCCTGGTTCGGAGCTCAGGTTGGCTCCAACCCCTCTTTGCAAGACTTTGCCCCTCCATAGGGGCCTGCTTTGCTTCTCACCTGGAGTGCAGAGGGTTTCACAGACCAGCGGGCAGAGGTAGCAGAACTGGCAGTGCTGAGGACGGGGGGAAAAGCCTGGTCAGGGAGGTTGGGTGGAGGGCCAGTGTGGGTGCTCTAGGGGGACCAGCGTCCCTGGGAAGGTCTCACCTGGCACTGGTCACAGTGTTCCCCCATGTTCTCCTCGTCACATTGACAGCTTTCGCATTCAGTACATCTCTGGGGACAGGAAGAGCCTGCTTAGAGGAGTCCCTAGCCCAGAATCCATGTCTGAGCTCAGAGTCCCCCTTCTTTCCAGGTGGTTCCTCAAACCACCCTCCCAAGTTTCCTATCTAAAGATAGCCCAAATGCCCCCATTGAGGGCAGGACCTGTGAGTGGTCACAGACCTGGAGGGTGACCCTTAACTTCTCCCCACCCCAGCTTCTGGTCCCCAGCATTTATTTTGCTGCTCCTCCCACTGTCAGGTTCAGAGGCCTCCCACGGCACCCCAGGGCATGCCAGGCAGATCCGGGATAGGGACCTACATTGCAGAAAGAACAATAGCCACACAGAGATCCTGGCTGGTAGTTCTCATACTCCTGGGCATCGTGCTGACCTGTGGGGACAGGAGGGCCACAGTGATTCCATTTGACCAACTCTGCCTTCCCCACCCCACAGAGCCAGGTCACTTACCTGTGACCTCACGGCTCTCCTCCTCGCTGGAACCTTCTGTGTCCACCTCCCTTCCAGCCAGGGGATTTGGGATGATGGTGAAGGGTAGCAGGTTTTCTTCCAGGATCTCCTCCTCTTCCTCCTCTTCCTCCTGCTTTCTGTGATGGCTCACTGGAGTCTGAACCTCAGTCCTGCCTTCCCTACTCTCTTGCTCATCTTTTTCTTCCTCTTCCTCATCTGCCTGGCTCTTAGGGAGGCTGTGACCCTCCTCCTCCTCTTCACTGTGGGATCCTTTGCTCTGCTCTGAGTCTTTGTCTCCCTCTTGAGAGCTGTGGTCATCTTCCTTTCTTGATTCTTCGGAACCAGCCCCTGTGGGCTGCAGGGGCTGATGACCAATGTCACCTTGGAAAAACTCTCTGTGACCCTGGCTGATCTGTTCATCTTGATCTTGTGGCCTGTGACTGGGGACCTCGTGGCCAAACTCAGCAGAAATATCCCCATCTCCCTCCCTGGAGACTCTGTGGTGGTGATGGCCAGGAACTTCTGTCTTATACTCTTCTGGGAAGTCCTCCTCCTTGTCAGACTTGTGGCCTTGGGGTTGGTGGCTTGCAGTATGGTGGCTGAACTTGACTGTTACCTCCTCTTCTTGATTCTCACTTCCAAGACCATGGTGAGTGTGTCTAGAAGATGGGTGCCAATGTTCAGTGGATACAGCCTCATCTTCCTCTTCCTCATCTTGGTGGCTTTGGTAGCCACGGCTGGGGACATGATAGTAGCCTTCATCTGAGTCATCTTCATCATCTTCCTTCTCATCACCTCGGTGTCTGTGGACCTGGTGCTCATGCTCAGGGGAGCCATCATCATCATCATCATTATCATCATCATCATCACCACCATCATCATTTTCGTGGCTTTGATGTCTGTGGACCTGGTGCCCATGCTCAGGGGAGCCATCATCATCATCATCATCTTCATCTTCATCATCCTCTTCATGGCCTCGGTGTCTGTGGACCTGGTGCCCACGCTCAGTGGAATCATCATCATCTTCATCTTCATCATCTTCTTCATGGCCTCGGTGTCTGTAGGCCTGGTGCCCATGCTCAGGGGAGCCATCATCATCTTCATCATCATCATCATCATCATGGCCTCGGTGTCTGTGGGCCTGGTGCTCATGCTCAGGGGAGCCATCATCATCATCATCTTCATCTTCGTCTTTGTGGCCTCGGTGTCTGTGGACCTGGTGCCCATGCTCAGGGGAGCCATCATCATCATCATCTTCATCATCCTCTTCATGGCCTCGGTGTCTGTGGACCTGGTGCCCACGCTCAGGGGAACCATCATCTTCATCATCTTCGTCTTTGTGGCCTTGTCTATGGCTGTGGGCATGATGGTGTTCATCTGAACCCTCTTCATCTCCTTCCTCTGAGTGGCTCTGGTGGCTCTGGTGACCATGGGCCTTGTGCTTATCATTAGAGTTCTCTACTTCCTCCCCATCATTTTCCCCTCCGTGGCCATGGTGACCATGCCTGGTGACAAGATGGTGATCCTCACTGGAGACAATGCTCTCCTCATCTTCATCTTCATGGCTGTGACTCCTCTGTCTGGGGAAGTGGTCCTCAGGCTCCGCTGAGTTCCCCAAATCTTCAGTATCGTGCCCTCTGTGCCCATGGGCCTGTCTCACATGCCCTCTGAAGACCTCTTCAGAGACATTCTCCTCTCCAGCCTCGTGGCCAGGGTACCTGTGGTCTTGGAGCCGGTGGCCATATTCCCTGGAGAAATCATCATTCTCTTCCCTGTGGTCTCTGTCTTTCTCACCCTGATGGCCCCCACGGCTGTGGATGTGGTGGCCAAACTCAGCCGACATGTCCTCTGAAGACCCGGGAATGCCGGCATTGTTGTTCCAGTTGCCAAGGCCCAGCCCAGCCCCTCTCAGCTCCTGGGTCACCAGTGGAGGGAACAGCAGGCTGGCTACTATGGCCCAAAGGAGACAAGTATGCAACCAAGGCCCCTGGAAGCCCATGGAGACGTTTAGCAGTTGAACTTTTTCCAAGCTTGACTTCAGCTGACTTTGATGGGTTCTTGTGCCTTGTTTTGTTCTGAATTTCAGGTTGTCTCTCTTGGGTGGTGGTATCTCTCCCACTCTTTTTGTCTATCTTCCTCAGGTCTTGGATGCCTCTCTGAGGATGTCCCCTTTGGAGCTGTGACCCTGGTTCCAGGACCTCCCTTCCCACTGCTGAGCCAATGGGGTCTGTCCCCTCCCCTCCTTGTGGCTAAATTTATCCTCAGCCTAAGTTATTCTGGTCAACCCCTGCCTGCCCCTCCCCTCCTGTTCCTCTGGCTCAGGACTGGGTGGTGGAGGGGTCTTCATGGCTAGGAGGGGGCAGGGACTTGTCTTTGGTCTGTCCAAAAGCTCAAGCTTGGGAACTTGGAGGCAAAGGCTAGACTACGGCTGGAGTTCAGAAGAGCCTGGGGCACCGGGAGACAGCGACATGGTTAGGAGCCCAAGGACCCCTGCAAGAATTGGGGGGTACAGTTGTGAAGAATTTGCAGCCAGGATGGGACATTTGGTGTGAAAGTGGGTGACATGCAGAGGCTGTGGAAGAGTCCCCAACACCTCATGACCTCCTGTCCCTGGAACTCAGATCTGAGGGCAGGGGACCAGGCCAGGGCTATAAATACAGCAGGGGGAGGGTGCTAGGGGCTCAGGTTACTAGGTCCCAGCTGTCCCTACTAGAGGGACTTGGCGAGAGACCAGTGTCACCCTTCTCTGTGCCCCACCCCACCTTGTCAACATACTTTTGGAGTTTTGTCCTTTATGAATCAACCCCCCCCCCATAGTCACTGTTTCTGAAGGTCCCTGTTCCTTTTCAGGATTCTAGCACACATACCCCCAACTTACTTTTACTGTGTTCTCCCTGCTCTCTCTGATTCCTGGCTCTGTCTTCTACCCTCTCTCTCTTGGCATTTCTAGCTTTGTCCCTGTCTCTGTATCTCATTCTCTGTATATCTGTATATCTGTCTCTGAGTCTCTGTGTCCCTGTCCCCCCACTCCCTTTCTTCTATGGGTCCCTCCCTTAGTTTCTGTCTCTGTCTCTTTCTCTCAGTCCCTCTCTGAGTCTATTTGTCCCATGGCCCACTCTGGTTCCTCCCTCCCTCTGCTCTCTCTGTTTGTTCTCCGAGTTTGAGTCTTTGGTCCCCTCTACCGGACCCCATCCCGTGCTAGGCAGCCCAGTCGGTCCCTCCTCCACAGCGCGGGCCGCCCTCTTCCCGCCTCCAGTGACGTGTTCCTGGGACTCCCCGCCCCGGGCTAGACTGCGAAGTCGTGGATCCGGTTTGGTCGGGTGGGTCAGCGGCTGGGAGGAAATACACCGAGCCCCGGGGGCTGCGGCGGCAGCATGGTGGGCCCGGAGAAGGAGCAGGTATCGCACAGCACGGGGCTGGATGTGAGCGGGTTCCAGAGTGGCGCCAGCCCCGCCGATCCGGGTCAGATGCAGCGGGCGCTGGGCCAGGAGTTCCCAGATCAAGGGGTTTGGGGTCCTGACTGAGCCTGCGGGAGGAGGACACTGAAGTTCTCAAGGTGTCTCCGGGGGCGCGTGGGGCTGTCTTCGCATCCCGTGGGTCTGACCCAGGTCCCCGCCCTGCCCTTCTCGTTCCGGTTCTCAGAGCTGGATCCCTAAGATCTTCAGGAAGAAGGTGTGCACGACGTTCATAGTGGACCTCTGCGATGATTCCGGGTGAGCAGTTCGGGGCAGCTGGCCTGGCAGCACAGGTTCGCGGGCCCTGCCGGCTGCAGACAGGCACCGCCCCTACAGTCCGGACTCCCCCCCTACTCAAGGCAGACAAGGCCTGCCCACCACGGACAGACCCTTCTCGGTCCCCCATAGACAGACCCCACCCACCGCAGACAGGCTCCGCCCACCAAGGGCATTTCCCCGCCTCCACCTCAGACCGAACCTTCCCCTGCCTAGGGCACATCCCAGATTCTGCATTCTCCCCTAGCTGGGGGTTGGAAAGCTTCGGGGATCCATTCTGTGTCTTTGTGTCTCGTCCATGCGTCTGTCTGTGTCACGTTGTCTCTGCTTTGGCTCTCTGTGTCATCCATCGGTAGCCCCACAGCCCTGCCAGCCGTTCCGAGTCTGCAGCTTTGGGATAGAAATTCCCTTCTTGGGCCATGCTTGTCACCTGGGCACAGAACAGTCCCTCCTGAGGTTGCCGAGCAAACTGAACAAGGTCACTTTGGGACGGTTCTGGAACTCTGCCCACCACCTAATAAACACTCGGAAATATCTGCAGCTCCCAAGAGAAACGGGCAGTTACCACTGTGTGCTTGTGCTCTGCGTGGCAAGGGGCATGAGCAAGCCCCATAGTCCCCCAGCTCCATCTGCGGTCTCCCTAGTTGGCTCCAGCTTTAAATCTGTTCTCAGGCTGGTCTTTCAGCCGGAGGTAGTGGCATCTCTTAGTGTGCCTTTATCAGGAGCCTGTTGTCCTGCCAGGGCAGGACAGGAAAATGTTGTGTAAACAAACACATATACGGTTTGCTGCTGGAAAGGGCCACAGGCAGGGTAAGAGAAGTAAGTGGGGGAGGGGAGCTGGTGGGTGCAGGTGTCATTGGGAGGGTGTTGCAGTGTGGCCTTGGGACGGTGACTCTGGGTCTTGGAACTGCCTGTTCGAAGTCCTCCCTAATGATAGCCGGTGTGTCTTGAAAACAGAGCAGAGTTCAGGGTGTAAACCTTGTCATGAGCAAGTTGGCCATGACCTCATGGGCACTCAGAGGCCACCTGAGTGAGTGTGAGGTTTTTCTGGGGCTACAAAGACACAGTTGGGCAGGCGGTGTGTGTGTGAGCTATATGAGGACAGATCAGAGGCCGGGAACCTGAGAGTGGACCCTGGGGACCAGAGCTCAGGGGCAGTGTGGCTCCTGGGCGGGCCGTCTGCAGACTAGAGTGTAGGAATGGGGTAGTTGTCACCAAGACGGGAAACCCAGGAAAACACGCAGGTTTGAAAATCATTGAGAGTGTAGCCCTTGCTTCTGTGTGCATAATAGACGTTGGGAAGCAGGGTGGGGCGGGTGGGGACCCAATTGGTACTTAGCAGAAGGTTGAGGCTCACACTGGGGTCTGAGAGGTCCCAGCTGCAGGTGGAGACTGAAACCACGGAAGCAGAAATGCAAAGACTACCTCCACAGCCAGTTTTCTTTCCCTCTGTCCCTTTCTTGCCTCTCCCCCACCTTCCTTCTTACATGGAGAAGTTTAAACACCTGTCTTCAGTGATAACACATATACTTAACATGTGTTGGTTTTCTTTTCTTTTCTTTTTTAAATTTATTTATTTATTTGTTATGTATACAATATTCTGTCTGTGTGTATGTCTGCAGGCCAGAAGAGGGCACCAGACCTCATTACAGATGGTTGTGAGCCACCATGTGGTTGCTGGGAATTGAACTCAGAACCTTTGGAAGAGCAGGCAGTGCTCTTAACCACTGAGCCATCTCTCCAGCCCCATGTGTTGGTTTTCATTCCCAAGACCAAAACACAAACCCAAGAAACCTGTCAGGTGTGTTGGTACACACCTGTCCTAGCACTCGGGAGAATGAGGCGGAAAGATTACAGGTCTGAGATCAACCCGGGCTACAGAAGCAGATCTTACCTTCAAACAAAACCCCAGCAACAAAAAACCACCAGGGGCTGGTGGTGAAGAACCCTGGCTGCTCAGTTCCCAGCACCCCCATGGCAGCTCTCAAAATCTAACTCTAGTTCCTGGGGCTCTGACTTCTCACACATACATGGTACTCAGACATTCATGCAGGCAAATGCTCATACACACACACAGATACACACAATATAAAAACCAAAACACCCACCTCCCCAGCACCCTCCCCCGTCATCTCTGACTGGCTTTAAGACGAATGCCAACTGCAGAAGCTTCCTAACCTTTTCTTTGGCCCCTGGGGACCTTGGGCTAGAAGATCATGGAGGGCTGCCAGGAGGCAGCGTAGTTCTTGATGCTCTGATGGCAGCAGAGGGGAGAGAAAGTTGCCATGGGGGTTGGGCTTGACCTTTGGGGAGAGGAAGGAATCAGGCCAAGGTTTCTAGAAGGGTGTATTCCATGGTGGCCAGCCACTCCTGAAAAAGAGATGGCACCTGAATGGGGCCTTTTTGCCTCAGAGCCACACAGAGCTCTGTCAGGAGGCAGGTAGGCACGAGAAATGTTGCCAGCGCCATGTGCCCAGAACTTTCTTCTGGATGGTCTTGCTCACTGTCCGTATTGCGTGTGGAGACAGCGGGTCACTAGTGGTGCCGACCCTGAGACAGAAAGTGTGATCAGACAGAGGTTTCCTTTATTCTGTGTGTGCTCCGCGTGCATGTGGAAGCCAGAGACAACCTCAGGCTGTGTTCCTCACACACCTCTACCTACCTCTACCTTGGTTTTACATCAGGCGGTGTTCCTCACCTCTACCTTGTTTCTTTGAGACAGTGTCTCTCACTAGCTTGGGTGCCCTGGATAGGCTGGCTGTCCCCTCCTCTTCAGCTGGGATTACACCTGTGCACAGCCACATTCGTGTTTATAGGCCTTAGGGACAGAATGCAGAACTCTTGCTTTCAAGACAGGCACTTTCTCCCAAGTTTATTTTAACTTGTTAAGTTAGGTTATAAGGAACCCCATGCAGACAGTAGACTCCTTGGGGCTGGTGCTCCAGAATGTTCCATGCAGACATATTGGACTAGAAAAGTAGAGGGAACAGGGGGAGTCCAAGAATGAGATCCAGATATGTAAGAGGATTAAGTGTGTATTGGGGAAACTGAGGCATACCAGGATCTTCTGGCATTAGAGAAGGAGGAGGTTGTGTCCTTTTCGCTCTAGGAGAACAACAGGCCGTAGGCACAGACCTGATGTGTTCCTGTGCATGGCTTGCATCCCCACATCTGTAGAACTGGTTCTGGGCTAGGCATGTAATGTGCGCTGGTGTACGCTTGGCATCTCAGCACTCAGGAGGCACAGCAGGAGCATCAGAAGTTCAAGGTCAACCTGGGCGATAAAGCTAGTTTTAGACCAGCTTGGGTTCTCAAAAAACAAGCCATAGGGGACCCGGGAGAAGGTACAGTGATTAGGAACACTGGCTGCTCTTGCAGAGGACCTGAGTTCAGGTCCCGGTAGTCACGTGATAGCTCACGACCTCCCTAACTACAGTTCCGGGGCCCTGACTCCCTCTTCCAGCCTCCACAGT